CTTCACGCTCAGATGTTGGGGCTGTCTGGGAAGCGAGGGGTGACGTGTTTGTGGGGGTGTTAGGAACCATGAAGAGACTTGTTCTGGAGGCTTGGCTTGTCAGCTCTCTGCCTCTATCCTTCTCTTTGAACACACACACACACACACACACACACATGCACGCACACACATGCATGCACACACACACACACACACACACACACACACACTCTGCAAGGCAAATAGATGTGAATCTCTTGTCCGGGAACCCCTAGGAGGAGCACTGTTGGAAAAGGGGAGTACATGGAGTGGACAGTGGAGTGGCCAGGCCGCTGGGCCAAGCCACGGGCCCACTGTAGAATGAAGAGCAGAGGAGGGCTTAGAAGGCACCAGGCCCAGCCTCCCATCTGCCAACCCCTCAGGGGCCAGACCTGCGACTCCACGCCTGGCCTCATCCTCCACATTGAACCCAGGACACTGGGGGCTCTCCAGGGTTCCCCCCCTCCCCTCATCTGAAGCCGTGGGGATTGCCCTGTGCCCATCGGTCCTGTCTTGAGGGGTTCAGGAACTTCTCTGCTTCGTGCATTTGTCAGCTTGGAGCGGGCCAGGGATGCGGCCAGGTGGTCGCTCACTTGCCTTGCCTGCATGGGGGGGCCCCAGGTTCAGTTCCCACTGCCACAGGTAGAGTGTTTGTGGCAGATTCTTTCACTTCCTCCCAAGAAGGGTGGGGACCCCGGAAAGTGGCCCTAGCAGCTGGCGAAGACCGCCATGTTCTCCTCCCCCCATAGATGTGGGGTGCCCCCAAATGATCATGGACAGTCAAGACCTCTCTTGCCTTCTATTCAAAATGCAGCCGAGAGGCCCGGGAGAGCAAACGAGGTGGGGGGGGGGGCAGGGGAGAGAGGGAGGTGTTGTCTTTGCGCGTGGCCAACGTGGAACTCCGTGAAGGTCCCTCAGCACAGCCAGGGGTGATCCCTGAGCATGGGTCCGGGAAGAAGTCCTGGTTAAGTTCAGCTAAGTGTGGCCTAATATTCCCTCCTCCACCTCAGCCCCCCTATACACACACACACACACACACACACACACGGGAGCCTGAGTTGTAGGGTACCCACTGAGTGTTTCCGTTGGTTGGCAGATCTAGACCCTTTCGGATCACCTATGGCAGATGATCATGGGCAGAGAGTAGAGAGATGAGATGCACCTATTGCTTTTTTGTTCCACTGAGATCCCTCTAAAATCCCCGGGGCTGGGAATGCATTGGAAATGGAGTAGGCCCTAGAAACTTTCGTATTGTCCTTTTATTTTATTATTATATTTTAAACATTTTGGCAGGGGGAGGTTGGGGGCCATACCTAGCGATGCTCAGGGATTACTTCCAATTCTGCACTCAGTACCCCTCCTGGTGATGCTCAGGGGACCACAAGGGATGCTGGGGATCGAACCTGCTGTTTTCAAGGCAGGGGCTTCACCCTACAATATCTCTGGACGCTCCCTTAGAAACTTATTTTTATTTGTTTTTCTGGTGGTGCTCAGGGCTTAAAAGTGGGAGCCTCGGGGTCATTAGAATGGATCGCTCTGTTTCTTTTTAGCTGTAGTACTATTTGTTTCGTTGTTTGGGGGCCACACTCAGTGGTGCTCAGAGCTTACCCTGGCAGTGCTTGGGGAACCATGTGCAGTGTCGAGAACCGGCCGTATGTAAGGCAAGCAACTGACCCCTTGTATTACTTCTCTGGCCCTAAAAGCTTTTATTTTATTTTTGATTTGGGGGCCATATCTGGTGATACATGGGGCTTACTTCTGCCTCTGTGCCCAGGGATCACTCCTGATGGGGGAGCATATGTGGGGCCAGGGATTGAACCCAGGTTGGCCACATGCAAGAGCAAGTGTTCTATTGCTATATTCTAGCACCGGCCCCTAGATACTTGATGCTCAAAGCCTTTTGCTGACTCTGTGCTTAGGACTCTGACCTCTTGGGGGTACTTGGGGGTCCATATGCAGTGCTGGGGATTAAACCAGGGTCAGCAGCATAAAACGCAAGCACCTTGGTCCCTGTACCGTCTCTCTGGCCCAGAAACTTAACTCACCTGTCTGCTCCTTATCCCACCCTTTCTCCTTCCTTCCTTCCTTCCTTCCTTCCTTCCTTCCTTCCTTCCTTCCTTCCTTAAAAGCATTTGGGAGTTGCCTGAAAGTTGTGACGGGGTCTGGGTTGGTGCGGACGGAGTCCATTCCCACGCTCCCCAGACACAGTATGTGTGGCAGCTGGTGGAGGACGCGCACGGGCCACTCGGCTGGGAAGATGCTCTTTCCCACCCTGGGCAATACTGTGTTCTTTGTTGCCTTTTTAAAAGTGTAGGATATGATGATTTAATATCCATATACATTGTGAAAGGATTACCCACTCAAGTTAATTAGCACCTCCATCACCTCCCATAATTACCCGTGTGTGTGTGTGTGTGTGTGCGCGCGCGCGCACCATCTACCCTCTAAGCCAAGTTTTCAAGGGCACACTGGTGCCATATTGAGATTGCCAGAACTTTCCTCCCTGACCTGAAAACTGGGCCCTGGAACCCCATTGTCTGCTGTCCCTGCCTCTGCTGCCACCCTTCCTGTCCACTGCTGCTTCTGTGGGTGGGACAGCTCCTCCCTCTCCCCCCCCCCCCCCCACACACACACACCACCACCACCACCATCATGGTGCAGGTTTCTTTGTGTGGCATCTGCAAGACACGTCATGCAGTGTTTGTCTTCTCGTCTGGCCGTGTCCGCCTTTGGTGGCTCTTTAAGGCATCACGGCGCAGGTGACCTTGGAGGGTTGTGATGGAGAGGGGGCTTAGGGAGCTTGCTGGAAACAACTCTGCATTGCTAACTTGGTATGTTTGGGCCCATTGGGTCTCCCGGACCACTCAGCAGTGACTGAGCCCAGAACACTCATTTTTGTTTGTTTGGGGGCTACACCTGGCAATGCTCAGGGCTTACTCCTGGCCCTGCACTAGGGCTCATCCCAGGTGGTGCTCAGGGGACCATATGGGATGTTCGGGGATAGAACCAGGGGTTGGCCACGTGCAAAGCAAGTACACTACCCAGTGCACTATCTCTTCGGACCCCCCACAAGTGCTCCTCTGTTTGGAAATTCAGAATCTCCTGTCCGTTTACCCACTTGGGATATGAGTGGATAATTCAGAAATGAGCTGCTTATGAGATAAAAATCTCAGAAAGTGGAGAAGGCCCCATGCCATCTCCAATTTTGCCGTGTCCTCTCTGGCAGACCCGTGTTCTTGGCCCTGGTGGGAGGCCACTCTCCCTACTCCTCTGTCAGGCCGCCCAGCTGGCCGTGACCCTTTCTGAGATGGCTGCTGTGGTTTAATGATTGTTTTTGCCAGTGCCTCCAGCACTTGGGATAAATTAGGATTCAGGTGGAAGAAAAGCCCTGTCCTGGGGCCCTGGAAATGCCTGCCTGGGGCACTAAGCTACTGCTCCTGGAACACTAAACCCCTAAAGGGCTTCAACTGGGAGCAGAAACCCCCAGCCTCCTTGGGGGGTACCCCAAGCTTGTCACTTTGCCTCCAGGGAGAGCGAGTCCTTTGCTTCAGGGGCTCCCTCCCAGCTTTGAAAGGCCAAGGCAGGGGGCTGGAGAGATAGCACAGCGGGTAAGATGCTTGCCTGGCATGCAGCCCTGCACCCCATTTGGTCCCCTGTACCCTCATATGGATCCTACCAGGAGGGACCCCCTGAGCACAGAGCCAGGAGTAAGACCTTAGCACTGCTGGGTGTGCCCCTAAAACAAAACAAAAAAAAATAGAAATAAAAATAGCACTGTAGCACTGTCCTCAATTTGCTCGAGCGGGCCCAGTAATGTCTTCATCGTGAGACTTGTTACTGTGTTTGGCATATTGAATACCTCATGAGTGGCTTGCCAGGCTTTGCTGTGCGGGCGATATACTCTCGGTAGCTTGCCGGGCTCTCTGAGAGGGGCAGAGGAATCGAACCTGGCTCATCTGGGCCGGTTGCGCGCAAGGCAAAACCCTACTGCTATGCTATCGCTCCAGCCCAGAAATAAAAATAAATGTATTTATTTATTTATTTCACTTTCGGGTCACATCTGGTGATGTTCAGGGGTTACTCCTGCCTAGGTGCTCAGGAATTACTCCTGGCAGTGCTCTAGGAACCATATGGGGTGGGGGGAATCAGACCAGGGTCCACCTCATGTAAGGTTAACGTCCTCCCTGCTGTACTCTCAGCCCGACCCCTAAAGTTTTAAAATAAGAGATAAGGTCACTGGAGCCCCTGCTAACTCCTGCAGAGAGGCCGACTGGAGCGAACCCAGTGGCACACATCTTGCATGATGGGGCCTTGGTGTGTGTGTGTGTGTGTGTGTGTGTGTGTGTGTGTGTGTGTGGTGGCAGGGGAGGGGGGTGGGCAGGGGGCTTAGACCAGGTCCATCACTGCATCGTTCCAGACTCTTATCCAGGCACTTCACTCAGCTGTTACTCCTGACCCTGCGCTTGGGAATTCCTACTGGTGGTGCCCAGGCACCATATATATAGGATGCCTGCTATGGAGCCCGGGAGGGACCTTATCTGCTCTTCTATCTCTGGCCCCTGTTGTTATTATTATTATTATTGCTATTATTTTAAGAGATCCAGAGATGCACTGTAAAGACCATATTATCTACTGTCACCCAGTCCCTGTGGAGCAACTCAGCTTGCAGAATTGCCAGGCTGGGCTGAGGTGGGGGTGCTCTGTGTGGCAAGGGGGAGAGGAGGGGTGTTCTCCGGGGCTGATTTCAGAGTAGGGTCCCAGAGCAGCTCCGTGAGGGCCAGAGAAACGTTTCTTGAACTTTTCTAGCTAGTGCGCCTTGGGGAGAGGCCTGCCAGCATGCGTGTCTGGGAGCCACCTCCAGCGCGGGGGACGGTGATGAGAAGGAGGGGGGACGGCCCAGGCCCTAGGTAGGGGTCACCTGTTGCCACCCCGGGGGTCACCCCTCCGCCTGACGCCTGTCTCTGTCCCTGCCGCCCCTGCAGGATGTCAACGCGGGCGAGGGCAGCGAGTTCGCCGACAGCGGCATCGAGGGCGCCGCCACCGACACGGACCTGCTGTCACGGCGCTCCAATGCCACGACCGCGAGCTACTCGCCGCCCGCTGGGCGCGCCTTCGTGGGCAGTGACAGCGGCAGCAGCTCAGCTGGTGGCGACGCGGCCCGCCAGGGCGTGTACGAGAACTTCAGGCGGGAGCTGGAGCTGAGCACGACGCACAGTGAGAGCCTGGAGGACGCGGGCTCGGCACACAGTGATGAGCAGAGCAGTGGCACGCTCAGCTCGCCTGGCCAGTCGGACCTCTTGCTCTCGGCCGCACAGGGCACCGTGCGCAAGGCGGGCGCGCTCGCCGTCAAGAACTTCCTCGTGCACAAGAAGAGCAAGAAGGTCGAGTCGGCCACGCGCCGCAAGTGGAAGCACTACTGGGTGTCCCTGAAAGGTAGGGGGGCCCCGCGCCCCGGCGACACACATGCACACTCGAACACACCCACCTCACACCCGGCAATGCTCAGGGGTTACTCCTGGCTCTTCACTTAGGAATTACTCCTGGCAGTACTCAGGGGGCTATATGATATGACAGGGATGGAACCCGGGTCAGCCACATGCAAAGCAAACACCCTACCCACTGTGGTATCACTCTGGCCCCTTCTCCTCCTCCTCCTCCCCCTTCTTTGTTTGTGGGGTTTTGGAGGGGGGTTTGGAGGGTGGTCACACCCAGCAATGCTCAGGGGTCACTCCTGGTGGTGATTGGAGTGTCAGGGTTGGAATCCCAGTCAGCAGGGTATAAGGCAAATAAATGCCCTACCCGCTGTACTCTCATTCCACCCCCCTAATGTTTGTGTTTTGGGGACCACCTCTGATGGTACTCAGTACTTAGTCCTGGCTCAGTGCTCAGGGAATACTCCAGGTGTAAGTCAGAGGATCATATAGGGTGCCGAGGATTGAACCGGTTTGGCTGCATGCAAGGGTGGCTGTCCTATCTCTAAGGCCAAGTATATAAGCTACCGAGAGTGTCTCGCCCGCACGGCAGAGCCTGGCAAGCTCCCCGTGACGTATTCGATATACCAGACACAGTAACAACAAAGTCTCCAATGGAGACGTTACTGGGCCTGCTCGAGCAAGATTGTTCTATTGCAAAATTTTTTTTTTTGCTTTTTTGGGTCACACCCGGCTATGCACAGGGGTTACTCCTGGCTTTGCACTCAGAAATTACTCCTGGCGGTGCTCAGGGGACCCTATGGGATGCTGTGAATCGAACCCGGGTTGGCTGTGTGCAAGGCAAACACCCCACTCGCTGTGCTCCAGCCTCATCATATATATATATATATATATATATATATATATATAATCACGGTCCTCCCATTGTTCATCGATTTGCTCGAGCGGGCCCAGTAACATCTCCATCATGAGACTTGTTGTTACTGTGTTTGGCATATCGAGTACATCACGGGGAGCTTGCCGGGCTCTGCCGTGCGGGCAAGATACTCTCGGTAGCTTGCCGGGCTCTCCGAGAGGGACGGAGGAATCGAACTCGGGTCGGCCATGTTGGCCGCTTGTAAGGCAAATGCCCTACCGCTGTGCTATTGCTCCAGCCATATATATATATATATACACACACATATATATATGCACACATACACACTCGCTGTGCTCCAGCCTCATATATATATACATATATATATACATATATACATATATATACACACATATATATATTCTTTCATACTATGTACTATATAGTATTTTCTTCTTTGATACTGTGACTATGCTATTTATAGTATTTTCTACTATTTCTACTGCTACTATACTACGCTTTTTTGGTTTTGGGGGGGCCACATCCGATGGTGCTCAAGACTCGCCTCTGGCTCAGTGCTCAACGTTGGGGAGCAGAAATAATCCATTCAAATCCTATTGGAATTGCCAATTTTATTAGGTAATTATAAAGACATCCGGAAAGCATTCACGTCAGGGATTCCAACCTAACACTTCCCTTAGCTTTGTCCAGCTTATTGTGTGCTTGCTTATCTCTGGAGATAATCAGTGTTTCACAGTGGAGTGTGCGTGTGTAGAGGTGTGTATGCATATAAATAGTTTTCATTCATTTGTATACTATTTAGGCTGGGGAAATAGCTCCAAGGACTGCACTAATGCTGTACATGTGGGACCCCTGAGCTGGTCCCCCAAGCACTGCTGGGAGTGATCGTCCCCCCAACCTCCCTCTTTCTCAGTACCAGGCTTGGAGTAGTCCTTGAACACCACTGGGTATAGCTTCAAAACAGAAACAGAAAAAGAGAAGTTCAATATTCGGATGCTTCTAGTCACAATCTTTCTACCTGCACTCCTGAAAGAGGGGTCTGCATTCTTCGCCATGTATTCACTTTAGTCCCAGCACTGTTGGTGGTGTAGAAGTTGCATGACTGTTGAGAACTCTTAGAGCTGGCATAGGTTTTTGGTCCCACCTGGGACCGGAGCAGAGTGAGTCCGTGAGATTACATAGCCTGGCTAACAAGTGCGCTGAACAAGTACAGGAGGCACCTGGGATCCGCCCAGTAGGATGCACGCATGAGGCTGTTGGAAATGAGTCCACCAACTGAGGCTGGTGTGACATTCCAGCCCTACTGGCCCGGAAGAGCTCAGAACTCTGTGCAGTGTCCACGGACAGGCACCCATGGTCCGTTGCTTCAGAGAGCCATTGCTCCAGTACCTGGGGTGTGTTGCCTAGAACCCATGGCTGCTGCGTGCCACAGAGACCCACAATGGCAATGTGGCCTTCAGGACAGTAGATTGGATTTCTCCCTACCCGTGGTGGTCAACCATCTCAGGCTGGCATGGTGGCTCTTTCCTGGGTGACGTTATCCAAAGGCCCATCTGCCTCACATGTGGCTCAGTTCCTTGGATAGAGCGTTTGTCTAGTCAAGAGCATTCTCCAAGCAGGCACAGATTCCAGCAGAGCTTCTCATGGGTACATGGAGAGTGGCTTCCTCCACACGCCAGCCCAGAAGTTGCCTCAGGACTCTCTGTCCTCCTCCCTGGATGAGACCCAGTTGTAATGGCAGCAAGAAAGACTCCTTGTGTGAGGAAAGAGGGAATTCTTCCTGGGCATCACCCAGCGCTCCCACAGGACTCTCTTCTCTCCTCTGCCAGGCCCGCCTACTGCGCCCTGGGTCTTGCAGACCTGTCCTCACTGCCCTGTGAGGCCGGACCACTGCTTTTCTTTCCTTTCAGGTCTCCTTTCCCTGAGTCTCTTGTTTCTGACTTCTCATCCACCCACTTCCCAGAATGTCTTGGCAGGAGTCAGGTTCTGCCGTAGCTCCTTTTCTCGTTCCCCGAGAGTCTGTCTTGGCGATTTGGAAGTCGGAACAGAACAGGCCATTCTGACAGCCGCAGTGTTTTCTCCACAGAAAGCTGCCTAGGGTGTTCTTATATCACTTTGAATTGTGTTTTTCCGTGCTGAACTCTAAATACCACATTATCATACTTAGAAAGGAGATGCCAAAGCATTCACACACATGTGAAATTGCAGTGTCCCGTTGGAGAAGAATCCCAACCATTTCCACACATGCACAACAGGTTTCCTGTTTTCCTGTGAGAAGTAGCGGGGGATGTAGGGGTGTTCTTTGAGGCAGGGATCTGGCCTGCGAGGTACAGACATCCCTCCTGTGAATGAGCAGGGCCTCTGTTCTCTCAAGTGATCTGTCTTAGCTTTGTTTTGAGTCATGTCTGGATTGTACCTACCAGGTGCTATGCAATGCAGCTGGGGGGATAGGATACCCCTTTTCCCATCCCTTCTCCCATTGTACCGGTGTCAGAACCCACCCTGGTCTCGGTTCCCCGGGGCAGCTTGTCTTCTCAGGACTTTTCTAAACAAAGGCCTAAATTTTCCACACCATCAGCAAAGTTTTCCACCCCATTCCCTTCTCCCTCCTGCAGCTCAGTTTTCTGAGATACTTTCTGGGTTGTCCCTAATCCTGATGATGCAGGGACATCTAAGTTGGGGCCCATCATAGAAGCAGGAGTCTCCTTAGGCCATGCTAGCCAAGTTCCACCTTCAGGGAAACTCCAGCCAGAGCAACGTGGCTTCTCACAGCCCTGACCTGGAAGGTGAAGCCGAAGGTCAGAGTGGCTCAGCAGATTTGGTCGTTTTTCAGGGATGGCTTTTTTGGGTCACACCCAGCGATGTGATAGCACAGCGGGTAGGGCATTTGCCTTGCAATCGGCCAATGTGGTTGATTCCTCCACCCCTTGGAGAGCCCCGCAAGCTACTGAGAGTATCTTACCTGCACGGCAAAGCATGGCAAGCTACCCCGTGACATATTCAATATGCCAAACACAGTAACAACAAAGTCTCACAATGGAGACATTACTGGGCCTGCTCGAGCAAATCGATGAACAATGGGAGGACAGTGCTACAGACAGAACCCAGCGATGCTCAGGGGTTCCTCCTGGTTCTGCACTGAGGAATTACTCCTGGCGGTGCTCATATGGGATATCGAGGATCGAACCTGGGTCTGCTGCGTGCAAGGCAAGTGCCCTCCCATCTGTATTATCGCTCTGCCCCCTGCAGATTTGGTCTTAATTGAGGCCTCTTTCCTGGGCTGGTGGGTGGCTGTGGTTTTCTTCCCACAACTTCTGTTCTCACTTTTTCCCTGAATCCAAAGTCCCCCTTCTCCGGAGGAACGCTGACGTATGAGACAAGAACCCCCTCCGGGGACCCTCTTCACCTGAATGGCATCCCTGCAGGCCCCTCACACCATGACGGGAGCTGGCTGTGATACTAGGGAGTAGGGAGAGAAGGGACATCCTTCAGCTCAGAACGTAACACTCACATCAGCGGGTCCAGCCCAGGGCCACTTCCCAGGACATTGGGCACCCCCAGTCCGCCACTTCCATCCATCTTGCAAATCAGGCTACTTTCCACATGCTCAGGCCGAGCCTCACATATTAGTGAACATATTCGTGGACCATAACACATCATAAGACACTCCTACCCATTTTCCATAATTACCATACCATATAGAAGGAAATACATACATATATATATATGTATGTACATATATATATATGTATATATATATATATATATATATATAGGCTGGAGCGATAGCACAGCGGTAGGGTGTTTGCCTTGCATGCAACCGGCCGGCTGAGCCGGGTTCAATTCCTCCACCCCTCTCAGAGGGCCCAGCAAGCTACTGAGAATATCTTGCCTGCACGGCAAAGCCTGGCAAGCTACCCGTGACGTATTCAATATGCCAAAACACAGTAACAACAAGTCTCACGATGGAGACGTTACTGGCCCGCTCGAGCAAATAGATGAACAATGGGAGGACAGTGACAGTAATATATATATATATTGGAGAGCCCGGCAAGCTACCAAGAGTATCCTGCCCGCATGGCAAAGCTTGGCAAGCTACCCATGGCATATTCGATATGCCAAAAACAGTAACAATAACAGGTCTTATGCCCCTGAACCCTGAAAGAGCCTCTAATACAGCAGTGTTATGAAAGATGAGTAAGGAGAGGCTGCTAAAATCTCAGGGCTGGGGCAAATGGAGACATTACTGGCACCCCGTTGAGTAAATCTATGAACAACAGGATGACAGTGATACAGCGATACACTGTGAGACACACAGTTACAAAGTTGTTCATGATTGGTTGGCAGGAAGGAAGGAAAGGAAGGAACGAGGGAGGGAGGGAAAGGAGGAAGGAAGGAAGGAAGGAAGGAAGGAAGGAAGGAAGGAAGGAAGGAAGGAAGGCCATTTTATGGTTGCATATGGTCTAACACCGAGCTAGTTGCTTATCTTGCCCGTGGATCTACATTTTATCCCCTCTGGACAAGGAGCTGGATGACTACTGCCTGCCTAAGAGGATGCCCGTACTGAAATGCCCGGCCAATAGAAGTAGCCAGTGCATAGCACAGGGGAGTGCCGTCCATCCACACTCCCGTCCCAACTTGGCTCCATAGTATGAAGCACAACACCTAAAACAAGATGCTATAAGGAACTTGAGGACGCACATGAAGGAAGTACCTGTGGGCAGAGAGTTGGTGGGTTAATATTTTTTGCCTCGGGGCCAAAGAGCTAGCACAGCAGGTAATGCTTTTGCCTTGTATGTGACCGACCCGGGTTCTTTCCCCAGTGCCCCATAAGGTCCCCCAAGCGCTGCTAGAAGTGATTCCTGAGTGCAGAGCCAGAAGTAACCCCTGAGCATCGCCAGTTGCTCCCCCCTCAAAAAACAAAAATCAGTCCATCAAAGGCTTTTTTAACTTCTTGGCCAGCTAGGTAGCTCAAGGGGTCAGAATACGCGCTTTGTGTGTGGAGGCCCTGGTTTTAACCCCCAGCATCTCATGGTCCCCTGAGCACTGAGAGAGTGGTCCAAAAAGAAAAAGAAATTTAGCCCCTCTTGTTTTGTTTTTGTTTTTGTTTTACTGCTCATCCACATGTGCACAATCCTGGTCCCAGCATGGCCCCAGGGACTTTGACTCTCAGTGGGCTTTGCATACTTGATTTTCCAGTTCTACAATTTGGGTGATGACAGCCAGTGATCCAGTGATCTCCTCCGTGGCAGGCATGTTGCTGCAAAGCACCCAATACCCACGCACACCCCCTTTCTGTCTTGGCAGGATGCACGCTCTTCTTCTACGAAGGCGATGGCCGGTCTGGGATCGACCACAACAGCATCCCCAAACACGCCGTCTGGGTGGAGAACAGCATCGTGCAGGCCGTGCCTGAGCACCCCAAGAAGGATTTCGTCTTCTGCCTCAGCAATTCCCTGGGCGATGCCTTCCTCTTCCAGGTTTGTTGACACGTGGCCAAGCCTCTCGAAGCCTCTAGAAGCTCTCCACTGGTGAACCTTCCTTTGATTTTCTTTCATTGGTTGTTTTTTTATGTGTTCACTAAGCAGTGGGTGGGTGGTGCTGCAATGATGCATGTATGGTCCGGTGGCCGAGAGCCACCTCCCATCCTTCCTGGGCCTCCCCAGCAGAGACAGAGAGAGAGACAGAGAAACGGGGACCACAGCCTGGTGGTGAAAATGGTCCGTTTAATGCAGAGCTGCTAGCATACTTAAAGAACATCTGAAGAGGTCATAGGTGTCGGACTGCATGTCAGTGTGATTTACAGAGGTAAAAAGTTCCAGCAGAGGCAGTTCTCTGCGGGAAATAAGCTCAAGGAGACGCTCTGTCTCCCAGGGATATCTATATTGCTTTTCTCTTTCCCTCTAGTCATATATATCAAACAGTTAGTCAAACAATTAATTTTACTTCTTACCAATACGTGCAGTCGTTGGGATAAACATAGTAAGCGATAAAGATCCGAAAACTTAGTTCTCTGGGCTCTGAGAGCAAGCAAGGCTTTTACCGTAAATCCCAGACTTAAGTCCACAGGTCAGTTCAGCCAGCCCTTCCCCATAGAGGTCCTGTCTCTTAAGTCATAACAGTTTGCACCAAGACCATGCATATATGCTTTTTAGACTGTCCCATTTCGATGTCGGGGTTGCTTCACCAGTTGCCTCAGGTCCATCCCAGTCTCACAGCGGGACCTCCCTTTTTTGGATGGTTAGGAGCTACAGCAGACTGATACCCAGGAGTAGATATATTTCAGAGTCAATCAACTTCCAAATATTAGGAGCATAGCATTAAGGTCTTTCTGTGTTTAAGCAAAGAGCATTGCTCTATAGTAAAATATAAAAAGGTTATAGGGAAAATAGAAAAGCAAGTAATTCACTACAAATACAAAATCCAGAATCACCAGAGAGTGTTGGCTTATAAGTAACCAAGATTGACTTAGAGAACTGTGACAATGCGGTGTAAAACACAAAAGAAAGGTTAAAGATATACTGAGATGATTGAAAGAGCACTGTAAGCCTCGCCGGGATGAGAAAAAGGGGCAGTTCACTGATGAAGCCTGAAACACTTAGGGTTAATATCCAGCAGTGTTTTTTTTTTTCTCTTTTTCCCATTAGAGACGCAAACATTGTGATTGACAAAATAAACATCTCCGAGATATTTCTTCCAGACACGATTAAACTCACCCATTGGGGTTCCAGAAAGAAACCCCGGGGAGGTGTTAACTTGAATTTGAGAAACTTGCCTTGTCTTGCTATATGTTGAAGAATTCTTGAGTGTATTCTTGAGACCTTTTTGTAGAGTTTTAGAAATGGGATCATGAATTCCTTAATATAGGCATGGGTTGAGCTGTCAGAAAAAGTTTTTATCATAATGTGTTCTCTTCTAATATTACTCATAAGGTAAAATAGTGACATCCCCAAAATAACTAGCTGTACCCAAATAGTTTCTGTTCCTCATCTTCCCCAAACTTTCTCTGTAATATTCTTGACATTTAAGTGAGTTTGAAGAAATACTAACCAACTAATCATTTCAGGACTAACATTTGCTTTTGTATGGAATGCCTTGAATTAGGGCAGTTACCATAGATTCTACCAAAACGTTTAGTACTGTTAACACAGGAGAATTCCTTCCTCCATTCCAAGGATGCAGGAATCCCTTAAACCTTCATCTCAGGCTCCCGCTGTAACATGCTTCTGTGCTGTGCACCCTGCTATTGAGAATACCTAAATGATTTCATTAGTTTGTTTTACTTTGGAGCCACATCGGGCAGTGCTCTTGGCTTACTCCTGTCTCTGCATGCAGAGATCACTCCTAGTGATGATTTTACCTTCGTTTTTTACATTTAAAAGGGATTCACATAGGGGCCCAGGCTATACTACAGTGCACACGGGCAACCTAGATTCGATCCCCAGCATCTCTTATGTTCTCTGAGCACTGCTAGGAGTAATTCCCAAATTTCTGAGCACAGAGCCAAGAGTAACACCCGAGCATCGCCAGGTGTGGCCTCCAAAAGAAAAAGAGAAAAGAAGAAAGTGTTTCACATAGAAGTAAAATGGGAGACAGACTTTGGAGATACGTGTTTGTTATATAGTAAAGTTGACAGTGGATATTGCAAAGAGAATAGTCATGAATTGGGTGAAATGCTCATGTGTGTGCTGAAGCAATAGCACAGCAGGTAGGGCATTTGCCTTGCACGTGGCCAACCCAGGTACAATTCCCAGCATCCCTTATGGTCCCCCGAGCACCGCCAGGAGTCATTCCTGAGTGCATGAGCCAGGAGTTACCCCTGTGCATCGCCAGGTATGACCCAAAAAGCCAAAAAAAAAATGCTCATGCATGAGAATATTCCATCTGCACGGAGTGTTGGGAAGAGAGAGAGGTGTGAAAGAGACCTGTAGTTTATGTTCCCAGATTTCTGCAGTTGTCTTCTAATGTTATTTCTGTTTGTGTGAGTAATGTAAGAAAGATAGCACAGTAATTTTGTTGGTCAACAGACAAAAATCACTTGTTTTTAAAAATACTTATAGAACCAGAGTGATAGTACAGTGGGTAGGGCACTTGCCTTGCATGTGACCCAGCCAGGTTTGAACCCTGGTATCTCATATGGTTCCCTGAGCACTGCCAGGAATAATTCTGAGTGCCGAGTCAAGAGTAACCCCTGAGCATCACCAGATCTGGCACAAAAGCAAAGCAAACAAACAACAATGAACCCCCCCCCCAAAAAAAAAACCCCACTGTGATGTAAAATCTATATAAAGAAATAGAGATGAGTATTCCACCCAGAAGAGTTCTCAGTGAACTGCTACCCCCAGAATAAGCACTGGAAGGTTTTTAATCCCCTGTACCATAACTCTCACCATTGTCTGCTTGCCAGCTTACAGGTTGAATAGAGTGAATATGAGTTTTGTCTTCCAAATGAGGACCCTTTAGTCTATCAGGGGTTACCTGCTCTCAGCAGCAGCAGCTGCTTCCTCTTCCCCTTTCCCTTCCTCTCCCTTCCTCTTCCTTCCTCTTCCTCCTCTTCCTTCTTCCTTCTTCCTTCTTCCTTCCTCCTCCTCCTCCTCCTTCTCCTCCTCTTCCTCCTCCTCCACTTCCTTCTTCTTTTTCTTCTTCTCTTCTTCTTGCTCCTTCTCCTCTTCCTCCTTTCCTTCTTCTTTTCCTTCTCCTCTTCCTCCTCTTCCTCCTCCTCCTCTTCCTCCTCCTCCTCCTCTTCTTCCTCCTCCTTTTCCCTTTGTTATTGGCTCTGAACTCAGAAATCATGCCTTGCAGGCACAGAAGAGAGGGCACCCAGGACCCGAGCTGCCTGTTTGCAAGCCAAGTACCTTACCTGTTGTACTATAACTCTGCTTAGCTTCTCCTTTTGAAGAAAAGTTTTGCTGCATATAGAATTCTCAATTGATGGTTTTATTTCAGTGCTTTGAAAATGTCCATGGTTTCTGATAAGACATTAGTTCTTAAGCTTAAGGATAATTTATGGAGATAAGTTGGTTTTCTCTTGTTGCTCTGGGGCTTTTGATTTGGTCTTTAGACAGTGTGATTGTGATCTATTTAGATATTGATTACTTTTAGAGAGCCCGGCAACCTACTGAGAGTATCTCGCCTGCACGGCGAAGACTGGCAAGCTACTCGTGACATATTCGATATGCCAAACACAGTAACAATTGTCACAATGGAGACGTTACTGGGCCCACTTGAGCAAATCGATGAACAACGGGAGGACAGTGACAGTGACAGTGATTTATTCTAGTTGGAATTCATTGAGCTTACTGTAGATGCGTGCGTATAAATCTCACTCCGTAAAATTTCTGCTAGTGTTCCTGCCCATTCATCTTTTCCTTTTGGACTTTGTTCTATTTAATTTACTTTTCTTGCTGGTGTCCTGCGGATCTGTGACTCTGTATTTATTTCTCCACATCTTTTTGTTTGTTTGCTTATTATTGCTGCTTCTTTTGACTGGATAATCTCAATTGGTCTACTTGAGGTTCACTGTGTTTTGTTTCTTCATTTCCTCTGTGGAATTTTGCATCATTCATTGATTTCACCATGTAACTCTGGAATTTATATTTAGTTCATAAGGAAAGAATTGTCCAAGAAATGCTTGGGGGACCATGTGTGGTGCCAGGGATTGAAACTAGGACCTTTGGAATGCAAAGGCAAACACTTTAAGCCCTGTACTCTTTCTCTGGCCCTCAATTCTTTTGAAAAATTGTTATTTTTTTCTTTTTTGAACTGTTCTGCTCAAGCATCATTCTCATACTGCTTTAGGCTCGATCCCCTGTATTGCTATGATTATATTCAAAATAGATGATGTCATATGTTCATTTAGCATCCAACCTGCGGACTATTGCTCTCTGGTAGGTGTGCCAGCCTTTCTGTAAAATCATTTTGTCTTGTCACATGCGACTGAAGAAGTCTCTGCTCCTTTGGCTGTGTGGTCAGTTGTAATATTTGCTTCAGTGTCTGAAAGCCAGCAGTGTGTGTCCCAGCCTCTCTGAGGGTTTTGTGTGCATACCGAATGGGCAGGCAGCTGGTTTGCTGCCCAGCCTTCTCAGGGGACTTCAGAGACTTCCGTGGGTCCTCTGGTCAAATGCGTAGTTTGATGGGACTGTCTGGATTCCCAGGACCAGGGAAAGCTCATGAGTAGCCCCTTTCCCAGTGTCTCACAGGTAGAGGGTAGGGTGGTGGGGAGGGCATGCTTGACAGTGCTCAGAGCTTACTCCTGTCTCTGTGCTCAAGGGTCATTCTCCTTCTTAATGTGCTTGGCAGTTGTTTCGATATTCTTTTATTTTTTTAATCAACTCTTTGTTAACTATTTGATTGGCAAGTATTTCCACTCTTTGACCAGGTGTTTTACCCCCTTCACAGTGTCCTTTGTCAGACTGCAATTTTGCGACTTTTTTTTTTGTAAATAGTCATTTATTTGGATTCATGGTTTTACAAAGACTTG